GGGGCACCTGTGTAGTGAGGGGTACCTGTGTACTGGGGGTACCTGTGTAGTGAGGGGCACCTGTGCACTGGGGGGCACCTGTACTGGGGGCACTGTAGTGAGGGCACCTGTGTAGTGAGGGGCACCTGTGCAGTGAGGGCACCTGTGTACTGGGGAACCTGTGTAGTGAGGGTACCGTGTAGTGAGGGGCACCTGTAGTGAGGGCACCAGGCACTGGGGTACCTGGTAGTGAGGGGCACCTGTAGTGAGGGGACCACTGGGGGCACCTGTAGTGAGGGGTACCTGTATACTGGGGGGCACTCAGTGCTGGGGGACCTGTGTACTGGGGGGTACCTGTACTGGGGGTACCCAGTACTGGGGGTACCTGTGTAGTGAGGGCACCTGTACTGGGGGCCCAGGTAGTGAGGGGCACCATACTGGGGGTACCTGTGTACTGGGGGCACCTGTGTACTGGGGGTACCGTGTAAGGGCACCTGTATCTGGGGGGCACCTGTGTAGTGAGGGGCACCTGTGTACTGAGGGGCACCTGTGCCTGGGGGGCACCTGTGTACTGGGCACCTGTGTAGTGAGGGGGCACCTGGTACTGGGGGGGCACCTGTGTAGTGAGGGGCACCTGTGTAGTGAGGGGGGCACCCGGTGTAGTGAGGGCACCTGTGTACTGGGGGGGCACCTGTACTGGGGGCACCTGTGTAGAGGGCACCTGGTACTGGGGGTACCAGGTGCGAGGGGCACCCAGTACTGGGGGGCACCTGTGCACTGGGGGCACCCAGGTAGTGAGGGGCACCTGTGTACTGGGGGCACCTGTAGTGAGGGCACCTGTGTACTGGGGGCACCAGTACTGGGGGGCACCTGTACTGAGGGGCACCTGTGTACTGGGGGCACCTGTGTAGTGAGGGGTACCTAGGTACTGAGGGACCTGTGTAGTGAGGGGCACCTGTAGTGGGGGGGCCTGTGGCACTGGGGGTACCTGTACTGGGGGTACCTGTGTAGTGAGGGGTACCTGTACTGGGGGTACCAGTGTATGAGGGCACCTGGTGTACTGGGGGCACTGTGTACTGGGGGTACCTGAATGGGGTACCTGTGTAGTGAGGGGCACCTGTGTACTGGGGGTACCTGTGTAGTGAGGGGTACCTGCACAGGGGCACTCAGGTGAGGGGCACTGTACTGGGGGTACCTGTGGCATTGGGGGGCACCTGTGTACTGGGGGCACCTGTAGTGAGGGGTACCTGTACTGGGGGCACCTGCAGTGAGGGGCACCTGTGTACTGGGGGCACCTGTGGGTACTGAGGGCCTGTGTAGTGAGGGTACCTGTGTACTGGGGTACTCTGTGTACTGGGGGCACCTGGGTACTGGGGGTACCTGTGGACTGGGGGCACCCAGGTAGTGAGGGCACCCAGTAGTGAGGGGCACCTGTGTAGTGAGGGGCACTGCAGAGAGGGCACCTGTAGTGAGGGCACCTGTGTACTGAGGGCAGTACTGAGGGGCACCTGTGGGGGGGGAGCACTGGGGTACCTGTGTGGCGAGGGGCACTCTGTAGAGAGGGCACCAGTACTGGGGGCACCCAGGTACTGGGGGGCACCTGTAGTGAGGGGTACCTGTGTACTGGGGCACCTGTGTAGTGAGGGTACCTGTAGTGAGGGGCACCTGTAGTGAGGGGGCACCTGGCACTGGGGGTACCTGTAGTGAGGGCACCTGTGCAGTGAGGGGCACCTGTGTACCGGGGGCACTGTGTAGTGAGGGGCACCTGTGTAGAGGGCACTGTGCAGTGAGGGCACCTGTAGAGGGGGCACCTGTGTAGTGAGGGGCACCTGGTGCACTGAGGTACCTGTGCAGTGGGGGTCTCAGTACTGGGGGGCACCTGTGTACTGGGGGCACTGTACTGGGGGGCACGGTACTGGGGGCAACGTGAGTGGGGGTACCTGTGTAGTGAGGGCACCAGTACTGGAGGGCACCTGTGTAGTGAGGTGCACCTGTGCAGTGAGCTGCACCTGTAGTGAGCACCTGTGTAGTGAGGCCCGTGAGGGGCACCTTGTAGAGGGCACGCAGTGAGGGCACCTGGTACTGGGGCACCTGTGCAGAGGGCACTGTAGTGAGGGCACCTGTAGTGAGCTACCTGTGTAGTGAGGGCCTGTGTGTAGTGAGCTGTGTGTACTGGGGGATGGTAGAGGGCACCAGGTAGTGGGTACCCAGTACTGGGGCACCTGTGTGGGGTACCTGTACTGAGGGGTCCCCTGTGTATGAGGGGCACCTGTTTACTGGGGGTACCTGTGTAGTGAGCATACCTGTGTACTGTGGGCACCTGTGTAGAGGGGCACCTGTGTCAGATCCTCCCACACCACCCACTTCAAAAACCAAAGAGCGACGTAAGACCTGCCTCTCCCCAGCACTGGGAGAGTGTGCACAGACGCAAGATTCCTCGAGACTGGGGCATTTCCACCAGGAGGTGTCAAACAGTCACTAGAGCCAGACAGTCATCACATCGGGAGGAGGCGTGTTTCTATTAAAAAACCACGAGTTCAGCTATGTGTGGCCAATACAGAGGTGGGCCAAAGCAGTCTCTGGTGGTGTGGCAGTCCTGATATTCCCCAGACACCAATGGTGGGATGCTGCAGAGTTTGTTTGCCGACAGCATCCAGCATATGGCAGCTCTACTACTGGCTTCATGTGAGAGGAAGGTGGAGGGGAATGATGTGACAAGAAGAAGCTACTACCAATAGCATCAGCATACATATTCCCTTTCTTCACTTGCTGATGGGCCACAACTCCGGCAAAAAAACGTCTTTTCCAGCCCGATGTTGGATGAGAAACAGCCACTGTAATATATCTATGGTCAAAGGGATGGGACAATGAGACACTAGCTAAGGCCCTGAGTACTGTGAGAATTACTCAAAATTGTAAAATTAATTTTAAAATGTAAATTATAAAGTAAACTGTAATAAAGGACAACGGTTTAGTAGTGTTGTTAATGTGTGTGATGTAGTATCTTGACATGTCACCTCACCACCTGATTCATCACTCACCACCTGACTCATCACTCACCCCTGCCTGGCCACCTCACTCTGGCATCACCTCACCCCATGCCTGTCAGCTCACCTCTTGTCATCACCTGCACCTCTCATGCCGCCAGGCTCACCCTCTTGTTGGCCAGCTCACCCTGTTTCATCACCTCACTCCACTCGTCAGGCTCACCCCGGTCAGCTCACCTCTTGGCTCATCAGCTGGCCCCATGGCCTCGTCAGTCACCTCTTGTTTCATCACCTCACCCCATGCCTCGTCAGCTCACCTCTTGCTCTTCATCACCAAATTTATGCTCACTCACCTCTTGTTTAATCACCTCACCCCATGCTCTTGGGGCTCACCTCTGTTTCATCACCTCACCCCTTGCCTCGTTAGGCTCACCCCATGCCTGGCTAGGCTCACCTATTGCTTCATCACCTCACCCTGTTTCGTCAGCTCACCCCTTGCCTGTCAGCTCACCCCATGCCTCGGCCAGCTCACCTCTGTTTCATCACCTCACCCCATGCCTCGTCAGTCAACTCGGCAGCCTCGTCACCTTCTTGCTTCATCTCACCCCTGCCTGGGTCGTCTGGCTCACCTCACCTCGCCATCTCACCCTGCTTCACAGTCACCTGCCTAGCCGTTTTGTTCATCAGCTCACCTTTGCTAGTTGGTTACATGTATTCATATATTATTTTCTTTTTATTACTTGTATGTACATGTAGTATATTTATGCTTGCACAGTAATTATAAAATGATTATTTTTGTAGGGCAGCTAAGGCAAGGCCCAAAAAATTGAACAGAAAATGAATGATTGAGCACAATTTTTGGAATTTGTCAATAAACAAATATTGAACTGAGTTTATTCTGATTTTATGGTAATTGGCGTACTCCAGAGCCCTCAGACTGTGAGATCCCATCACCGAAGTGTGCCTGCATCTGGTGACTGTGAGGATCCCATCACCAAGTGTGACCCAGAGCCTCTGTGACTGCGGTAGGTGTTTTGTCAGAGATAGGTGACAGTATAGTACTGTATCTGCACTGTACTCCCAGCCAAACACAATCATTGTCACCATCGTCACTTCTGTATCCATTCTAATGCTTGGTGTTGGCGGGATTGCCTGATGGCAGCGCCAACTTTTATCACCAGGTTTATTTTCTGAGGTCATTTGTTACAGCCACTCTTGGTCTCTGTCTTGGCCTGTGTACTCTAATCAATCTAGGTAAAACTAAGGTCATCACCTGGTGCTGCACTGTGTAGGGTTTGGTTTCAGTATCACCATGGTTATATCATCTCAAGCAGTTTCACGCCATCATCTTTAACTTTCACCGCCACTTATCTTGCCAGTGGGGTACACCATTCTTTTTCTGTTACCATCGGTAAGGCTGCAACCCCTCAAATTTATTTAGACATTTTGCCCTCAGCTGGCAGGGGAGTGAGGAACACACATCTGGCAGTGCTAAAATTGACTATAAGTTCTTTATGCTCACCACCAGCATGGATGGTGGCAGCATAGAGGTTTACAACCTCCTTTTATTAATGACTTTACTTTTGGTTGGCTTTTTGTGTGTATGTAACTAGTGAAAAGAGAGAGAGAGAGAGAGGAGAGAGAGTGCTGAGCCTGTGAGTGTGTGTGTGGTTTGTTTCTTTATTGGGGGAGAGTTGTGAGCACCATTCCTCTTTTGTGCAGTGATGTTGTTTCTTTTGCCATTACAGGCCATAAGTACGCACTGGCACAATAATGGCGATCAGGTGGCAGAGCAGTGTGGTGAGACCTGTGGGCAACTGCTGCCTTCCTGCCACACCTCCCCAAGTCGGAGGTTGCAACATATACTGGTCTTAAGGCTGCACTAAAGATGCAGCAAGGCGATATATTTAGTGTTGCTCCTCGGAATTATAAATTCCTTAATCCTGTCGTGAGAATACCGAGTCTTGTCTTCATTGACTGAACTTTTCTCCTCAACAGAATTCCAGAAAGTTCACAACGTTAAAGTATTCAAGATGCGCTGTGCGTGACGGTCTCAGATGGATGCAGAATCGATTTCACCTGCACAATATTTCAGGCATTGCTGATATAAGATGTGTCTGGTGATGCATGGTGGGTGGGTGAAGGGTTGGTCCCACAGTAGGTGGGGGTGAAGGATTGGTCTGCACAGTAGGTGGGGGTGAAGTGGTTGGGCCGGCGCAGTAGGGTGGGAAGGGCACAGTAGGTTGGGTGAAGGATTGGTCCGGCACAGAGGTGGGTGAAGGATCGGCACAGCAGGGTGAAGGATGGGTGGTCTGCGGCAGTAGGGTGGGGAATGGAGGTCCGGTGCAGTAGGGAAGGAGCGGTAGCGGTTCGGTACAGGTGGGGAAGGATTGCCTGCCAGTAGGTGGGTATTGGCCCGACAGTAGGTGGGAAGATTGTCCGTGCAGCAGGTGGGTAAGGGTTGGTCGGTACAGTAGGGTGGGTGAAGGGTGGTCTGCCAGTAGGGTGATGATTGGTCTCGCATGTAGGTGGGTGAAGATTGGGTCCGGCACAGTAGGTGGGGAAGGATTGGGTCTGCGCAGGTGGTGAAGGGCCCGGCCTGCAGGTGGTGGGTGAAGGATTGGCCTGCACAGTAGGTGGGTGATTGGCCCGGTACAGTGGTGGGTGAAGGATTGCCCGGCACAGTAGGTGGGTGAAGGTTGGCCTGCACAGTAGGTGGGTGAAGGATTGGCCTGCATAGGTGGGTGAAGGATTGGCCTGGCACAGTAGGTGTGTTGAAAAGTAGGTGGAGGTGAGAGGTGGAGTGGGTGAGAGGTTGGACAGAGAGGTAGGTGGGTGAAGGATTGGAGGTAGGAGTGAGTGGGTGAGATGAGAGTAATAGTAGGTGGGTTTGGAGAGAGAGAGATAAAGAACTAGGGAGGGAGAGGTGGAGCAGGGAGAGAGAGAGAGAGTGTAGAGCTAGGAGAAAAGAGAGAGCTTAGGGAGGGAGAGAGAGAGGTGGGAGCTAGGGAGAGAGGTGAGGAGCTGGGGGAGAGAGGGAGGTGGAGCTGGGAGAGAGGTGAGAGGCTAGGGAGAGAGAGGTGGAGCTAGGGAGGAGAGGGGGGGGGTGGAGCTAGGAGAGAGAGGAGGGGGATGGGAGATAGGGTGGGGGTAGAGCTGGGGAGAGAGAGGAGGGGAGCTGGGAGGGGAGAGGTGGAGCTAGGGAGAGAGAGGTGTAGAGGTGAGAGAGGTATGAGATGGGAGAGAGTGTGGAGGTGGAGCTAGGGAGAGAGAGAGTGGTAGAGCTTGGAGAGAGAGGGGGGTAGAGGAGGGGGGAGAGGAGGTGGGAGAGGGAGGAGAGGGAGTAGAGCTAGGGAGAGGGAGAGGTGGTAGAGCTGGAGGGAGAGAGAGGGTAGGAGGGTGAGTTGAGAGAGGAGAGAGAGAAGGAGAGGTAGAGGTGGGAGGGAGAGAGAGAGAGTGGTAGAGGTAGGAGGAGAGAGGGAGTGGGTGAGAGAGAGTGGTGGTGTGTATAGAGTAGGTGGGAGGAGAGGTGGGGAGGGAGAGAGGAGGTGGCTGGGAGAGAGAGAGGTGAGAGCTAGGAGAGAGAGAGAGGTGGGGTAGGGGAGAGAGGTAGCTGGGAGAGAGAGGTGGAGCTGGGGAGAGAGAGGTGGAGCTGGGAGAGAGAGATAGTTGGGAGCTAGGAGAGAGGGAGAGAGAGGAGAGAGAGAGAGAGAGAGCTAGGGAGGAGAGAGAGAGAGAGAGAGGGGTAGAGGTTGGGAGAGAGAGAGAGAGAGAGGGAGAGAGGGGTGGGGCTGGAGGGGAATGAGAGGGAGAGAGAGAGAGGTAGAGCTAGGAGAGAGAGAGGGTGAGCTAGGAGAGAGAGAGAGAGGTAAGGGTTTTGGGGAGAGGGAGCAGAGAGGCAGAGCTAGGAGAGGGGAGAGAGAGAGAGAGAGAGGTAGAGCTAGGAGAGAGAGAGAGGAGAGGTTGAGGAGAGAGGGGGGTAGAGCAAGGAGAGGGGAGGGGAGAGAGAGAGAGAGAGGTGTAGAGCTAGGGAGAGAGGTAGAGTTTAGAGAGAGAGAGAGAGAGAGGAGAGAGAGAGAGAGAGTGAGAGAGAGAGAGAGAGAGCTAGGAGAGAGAGAGGAGAGAGAGAGAGAAAGAGGTAGAGCAGGGAGAGAGAGAGGTAGAGCAGAAGAGAGAGGAGAGAGGTAGAGCTAGGAGAGGAGAGAGGTAGAGCTTAGAGAGAGAGGAGGGGAGAGGAGAGAGAGGTAGAGTTAGGGAGAGAGAGAGGTGGGGAGCTAGGGAGAGAGAGAGGTAGAGCTAGGAGAGAGAGAGAGAGAGAGAGAGAGGAGGAGGAGAGAGAGAGAGAGAGAGAGAGAGAGAGAGAGAGAGAGAGAGAGAGAGAGAGAGAGAGAGAGAGAGAGAGAGGTAGAGCTGGGAGAGGGAGAGAGAGGTAGACAGGGAGAGAGAGAGTGGGAGTGGGGAGGGAGAGAGAGGGAGTGGGAGAGGGGAGAGAGAGAGAGAGAGGGGGAGCTGGAGGAGAGGAGGTGAGCTGGGAGAGAGAGAGAGAGGGGTAGGAGCTGGAGGAGAGAGGGAGAGAGAGGGAGAGAGAGGAGAGAGAGAGAGAGGTGGGAGCTAGAGAGAGGTAGAGCTCAGAGAGAGAGAGAGAGGGGTAGAGCTAGGAGAGGGAGAGAGAGGTAGAGTTAGAGAGAGAGAGAGAGAGAGGTGAGCTAGAGAGAGAGGTGGGAGCTAGGAGAGAGAGAGAGAGAGAGGTAGAGCGGAGAGAGAGAGAGGCTGGAGAGAGGGAGAGAGAGAGAGGAGGGGAGAGAAGAGAGAGAGGTAGAGCTAGGAGAGAGAGAGAGGTAGAGCTAGAGAGAGAGAGAGGTAGAGCTTGGGAGAGAGAGAGAGAGGGGAGCTAGGGAGGAGAGAGAGAGAGGTGGGAGCTGGAGAGGAGAGAGGTAGGAGCTGGGGAGAGGGAGAGAGAGGTAGAGCTAGGGAGAGAGAGAGAGGTAGAGCTAGGAGAGAGAGAGGTAGAGCTAGGAGAGAAGAGAGAGAGGTAGAGCGCAGGGGAGAGGAGAGAGAGGTAGAGCTAGGGAGAGGGAGAGAGAGAGAGCTAGGGAGAGAGAGAGTAGAGAGAGGTAGAGCTGGGAGAGAGAGAGAGAGAGAGGTAGAAGTAGGAGGAGAGAGAGAGGTAGAGCTAGGAGAGAGAGAGAGGTGAAGTGAGGAGAGAGGTAGATGGTGCAGCTGGGAGAGAGAGAGAGAGAGAGGTTGAGCTAGAGGAGAGAG